GTAATCTGTTGACTCTTTTTTTCGCCGTATGCAATAATCGGCCGGTGCGGGTAAACGGCCGGAAATTACGGTATTTAATGAATAAATAGATATTAAATAATACACTGAGCATAGGCAATATTTTATTAATTATAGTTACCTCTTCTTCCAATTTCCTCAGTAATGATGATTTGTTGTATTTTTCATCTGTGCAGTTTTCACTTGTGATGGCAATGGTTACATTAATCACATTTCCTGCAATGTCTGTGAAGTGGGATAATGGCTCTAAAATCTATCTTTTTCTACACATAACAAGAATGCCAATAATTCACAATTACCAAATGCTGAAAAATCTTGCACAATGCTAATAGATTTTCTCAAAATGCCTATTGATACAAGTATTCCTTTAGATATTAGTCCCTGGTTCAACTTTTAGAACCCAATCAAAATGTCATGTTGGTATTAGTATGAAGCTACAGCTGTATAAGCAGAACTACAATGCAACTTACAAACAATGGCAGTTTTTGTATCATGTCCATGTAAATTGGCCACTCTGCAGATATAGCTGGCATCGTTAAGCACTTGTGAAATATCAAGACTATTGTTGTTACAAAGTTGTTCTGGGTCATTACATGGAATCCAAGTGTAAGTAAGTGGAGGGTTTCCTTCTGCTTGACAGTTGAGAGTTAAACTTTGTTGTACATAAACAATATACTCAGTTTGAAATTTAACAATCTTGACTGGATCTGTACATCAAATTGGAAAATAAAAAATCAGATTAATAAACGGCATCTACATCTACACAAAGATATATCTGAGTGACTTGTCTTCAATAGTTAAGGGGTCCAAAGACACCAGCACACTTACATACAAGAGGGTATTCTTTATGTAGTTTGTTGTATTTTGGTTGAACTTAATAACATGGGTTTGCAAAATGTTCTCCTACTTTGTGTATTGTGGTTTCAATGAAATTGCTATTGTCTGGATGTTACCTGGGTGACCCTCTTGCCATTCATAAATGTACGTTAAATAAATTACTGGTACCAAAAGTTTCATGGGTTCCGATCATTAGACAGAAAACTATTTAATGTTGACACTCAGAAACCATGGAGGTGGTATTTCAAATCTTTGAGCTGAGATCTTGCCAGATATGTTGAACCAGATTGTTTAACATTTTCTAATTAGAATTAATGAGACTGTGGAGCACTAGAGTCTCCTAACACAACATCTAATCTTAATCTTAAGAGGAGTAAATTAACATTGACAGAGGTGGGCGAACACCTGCCGGAACACGGCAGTGCTCCAAGCTGTAATCATTTTTAATCCACACAGAGGTAAAGAAGGGACTTAAGTTACCAATTAAGTTGGCAAAGGAAAGTGTTGTTGTTGGGGGGTGCATTTAATAAAAGTACAATTTTATGAAAAATTGAGCCTCAGGAGCCCTTCATGGATGTACTTAGCTAAACATTAATAATGGTAATAGGACTGGGTGGAGTCCAATTCAGTCTGTAATCATACCGGTGATTAACAAAATCTGGTTATCACAAGTATGATTACAGACAGAATTGGAGGACACATTTAAGCCCTGTTACCAATTAATCAAAACTATGACAAAATTTGAGAAAGAAATGAGACAGACAAAATGTGAAACAACAGCCTGCACACATGACTCATTGTCCAATTATGCAGGCATGACGTGTTATCTGTCCCTTAACTATCCTATTACACTATCCAATTACAAGTATGACGCACACACTGTCCTATTTGTGCTCGAGTCGGGCTAGTGATATCCAATCATGTTCAAGAATTTTGCTATAGTTTTGGTTAATACAAGTAATTGACAGCAATTAAACACAGAAGATAAATGGAAAGCACATCTCTGTTTAACATTAGTCAAAGTTGTTTTCAATGCATACTCACAAATAACATTTACATATATGGTTCGGCTCTCTGGTTTACCAAAGCCATTGTATGCTGTACAGGTATAATTTCCTGCATCAATCCTGTCGATGTTTGTTATAGTCAGCACCTTTCCTTCTTGCACCACATGAGTATTTCCTTGGTTCCCAGGCTTCTCTTTGGTCCAGGTGATGTTTGGTCCTACTTGACTCGATGCTTCACAGATTAACTGCAAATTTTCACCTTCAAGAACGGTTGGTTCACCTCTTATTCCACTGATATTTATTGGATCTAAGAAAAATCAAACAATCACTAGTAAACTTCGAGGATAATCGAATGGCATGTAGACGTATGAGCAATGTGGAAAACTGATATACTGCTGACATGATTTTTACATGTTCTTTGCAAACCTTGCACATGCAAATGAAATTCAAATGTGTTATGATTGTTCAAATTATACAAGAACAGTCCCTGAATTATAATCCATTATAAGTGCTTTAATATATCTGCCTTTAAAAATTTCATGGACCACTAAAAGGCAACTAAATTTTTCTGAATTATTTTCTCAGCTTAAACTAAGCATTATTATTTTAACTGCAGTTTCCAACAAGTAATTCTGTAGAAATTAATTTTGAGACTCAGACTCACAGGAGCTATTTACAAAAACATCTTTTTTGAAAATAATTTTTTTAGCCCACCAATGTGTGAATAACCAATTATAGTGTGTCACTATAACTGACTCCCACAATGTTTTGGCAGCAAAACATAATGCTCCTTGATTTCAATCCTGGAAACATCTCCTGATTAGTTTCAGTCACATGTCGTGATCTTTGCTATACCTCTGTATATAAAAGTAGGCTGTGAATGGGTAGTGATTATATGGAGAATAGTCCTTGATTGTGAGCCAAGGGGTTGGGTGTAAGAGCAAGAAATTAAAGAAATCCCATGAGGAATGGCAAAAAAATATTGCTGAGATGGAGGAAGGCTTGTGGTTTACACAATCCTCTCTGATTGTAACCAGCAACCATAAAGAGGTGCTGCTGCAGCCGGTTCAAACCACTATAAACTTGAAATTAAAATTGCTGTCTAATGGAATTGAACCATGGTTTTTCATGTAAAACTGCTTGGTAGGTTCCTGCAAATTATGGTTTAGTATAAGAAACTATGTAGTGGAGAGTCTCCTGGGACTCCCTAGGATACTTTAATTTGTGTATCTATTGGCATACCTAACTATACTTTGACATCACTATAGTCACCCAAAACTGTAATATTGTATCTGTGAAAATCTCTGGAGCAAAAAAAAAATATGTACACTGTACAATAAATGCCAAAAGTAGGTGGATAACAACCCTCCAATCAACATAAACAGAAATCTTGTGATTCACCTCTATTAAGTTACTTGCAAGTTACACCTTCCCCAAAAAAACCTATTGCCTGAAATTGGTCACCATTTTGTAACACCAGGCAACATTCAAATGGGGAGAGTTACATGAAAAATTAAAAAAATAGTAAAGCATGGTAAGACTTTTGCCACTCATTACACAATGAAGTTTTTATGCAAGTGTGTCTTCTTTAAACATATCATTGGCATACATAGAAAACTTAACAGCCTTGAAATTAGACCTGAAGACTCTCACAGTACTAAACAAAAAACCATGTGAGGGATTTCTGATTTTCATAATTTATCTGCCACAATGGCCTCAGATGTAACACATATCAGTAAAATTTTGATGAGCAAACTTGATAGAAACCCAGAAAGCAAATGACAGTAATATTCAAAATTCCCTGCAAAGATTTGAAAATATACCCCTCCTGTTTGAAATTGTTGAAATTTTGTTATAGCTGTAGGATTTTATACCTGATTTATTTGCTTGAGGAGACATCCTCTTAAGTTAGTAACTAGCTTTCCAAAGATAATTACACTCTGTGCTTGCTAAGTGGGTAAATTAAGATCTTTCAGATAAACTTTAAATATACTGAGTGTAAAAAGACTTTTGTCTTCAATTACACATGCAAGTTTCCCAGTGTATAATAATCAACACCTCTTTGGATTTGAATTTACCTTGAACCCTTTAAAAATTTTTAATGGCTTGATTACTCTTTAGGCTGACTATTTTTTCACAATTTTATCCATCTGAGGTTTATCAAATCAAATCACTCATAAATGTAGCCAATAAGTACTAACAGACAGACCTATGTTAGAAGTAAGAAAATATGATGAAATGGTCAGGTTCATTGTCACTTTGTGGTCCCACAATAGATAAAACACCCTCATCAGAACTTCATTTGATTACTGAGTTGAACAGAATGTGAAGGAAGTTAGTGTTATCTTTATCCTCTGATGCAGTAATTATTTTTTTCACTTATCTCAAGGTGCAATTCCAATTTTGAGCCTATTGTTTTGTGCATTCTGGGTGTTTGATTCACATGGGACCTCAAAGGGTATGTGAGACATATACATGTGATCGCATCATTGTACTTAAAAGTTAGGTATATACCATTAACAAAAA